AAGGGGCAGAGGAATTGAACCCGGCTCAGCAGGGCTGGCTACGCGCAAGGCAAACACCCTCCTGCTGTGCTATCGCTCCAGCCCAGACAAAGTTGAATCACTGTCACTGTCACTGTCCTCCCGTTGTTCATCGATTTGCTCGAGCGGGCCCAGTAACGTCTCCATTGGAGACTTTGTTGTTACTGTGTTTGGCATATCGAATACATCACGGGGAGCTTGCCAGGCTCTGCCATGCGGGCGAGATACTCTCAGTAGCTTGCCGGGCTCTCCGAGAGGGGCGGAGGAATCGAACTCGGGTCGGCCATGTTGGCTGCGTGCAAGGCAAACACCCTCCCGCTGTGCTATCGCTCCAGCCCAGACAAAGTTGAATAGTCTTTAATTTTTTCCCCAGCAAATTTCCCCTCCATGTTTACCCCCCCCCCCCCAGGGCTAGTTGGCAGAAGATAGACCCAGTCCCTATCTTCGAGGGGAGCCAGGTAGGGCATGGGTCCAAATCAGCAGTTTCCGTGGCAAAGTGTTGAAACGCAGGCCGTGGCTGCTCCGTGGCATCCTGACTTTCCCTGTTTGTCTGCTGTGAGGGGGCAGTTTAATCCTCTCTTGTTTCACCTAAAGATCCAGAGTCCCTAAATAGCCTTCCTAGGCCTGGGGTGCGTGCAATGGGCTAAGGGCTGACTTTGCATGTGGGAGCCCCAGGATCAGCACCTGTTACCACACAGTCCCTTGGTCACTGCTGACTGGAGGGAAATCAAGGAGGGAAGGAGACAGAAACCTTTCTGAAGTTCCCTCTGCCTAATCTTATCTTTTGCTTACACTTTCTGATCCACATCTTCTACTCTGTATCTGTTGAGGTATGTCCTGGCCCAAGGCAACAGTGTTGCTAGTCCTGGGAGCGTGTTCTTTTTGACTCCTATCTTTTGCCCTGTTTCTTTGGTTATTTTGAGGGAGGTGGGTGGGGATGGTACTCAAGGTTTATTCCTGGCTCTGCTCTCCGGGATCACCCCTGGTGGTGTGCCAAGGATTCCGTGGAGTTCCAGGGATGGAACCCACGTGGGTCATGGGCAGGCAAGCCCCTCCCCGCTGGACTATGTCTCCTGCACCGTGCCCGGGCTCTTCCCTCCCCCCCTAAGTTTGTCTCTGTACCTGCCTCCAGTATCGACCTTTGGGGAAGCAGGTCATTCTGTGCCTCCACCGAGGGCCAGCCACTGCCCTGTCTCCTGCCCCCCTCTTTCATTTATTCATTTATTTTTTGCTTTTTGAGTCACACCCAGCGATGCACAGAGTTTACCCCTGGCTCATGCGCTCAGAAATTACTCCTGGCGGTGCTCAGGGATGCTGGGAATCGAACCCGGGTTGGCCACATGCGAAGCAAATGCCCTACCTGCTGTGCTATCACTCTAGCCCCCCACCCCCACCCTGCCTTTTAGAAGAGATTGTGACTCACTCTGAGAATCTGTGATGCCAAGGGGCAGGGGATGGTGGTGGAGGTGTGGCTGCTGCTCAGAGCCAGACCTGTGACCGTCACAGGCATCTGTTCGGCCTTCACTTGGCACAGGAGGGTTCAGGGACCGCCAGCATTTCCCACACGGATAGGAACAGAAAGAGCAGTTGGCCCCCACCCCATGTGCGTGCCTGAGGCCCCATAGTACATGCTCCTTCCTGCAACATCAGGCAATGGGAAAAGGGGAGAGCAAGAACAGATTACGTGTTCTTTCTCTGGGGGGGTGCCGGAAATATCGAACCCAGTGCCTTGCCCATGCAAGACAGGACCTCTGTCTGTCACTGAGGGCAAGATGGATTTCTTTCTTCCTCTTCTTCTTTTTGGCTTTTTGGTTCACACCTGGCGATGCTCAGGGGTTACTCCTGGCTCTGCACTCAGGAATTACTCCTGGCGCTGCTCTGGGGGCCACATGGGATGCTGGGAATTGAACCCGAGTCAGCCGTGTGCAAGGCAAATGCCCTCCCTGCTGTACTATCCCTCCAGCCCTAAGATGGATTTCATAGAAAGAAAAAAAAGAGAGAAGAATCTGGGCTTGGGGAAATAACTCACAGGACTGAGCACAAGGTTTTCCTGCAGGAACTCTCTCCCTGTTTCCCTGGCTCCTTCCCCCAAGTGTCACTGAGGTGCCCACTGAGTTCCAAGCCAGGAATAACATCCAAGTACCTTCGGGTGTGGCCCACACACACGCCCCCACCCACCAGAAGGAGGAGAATATTGGCTGAAGGAGGAGAATAGAACAGGTTGGGTCGTTAGCTAGATGTGGGACCTCTAACAGAATAAGGGTGGGCTTTCTTTGAGTGAGGAGCGTGTTCTGGGGGGCTGCCGCTGCTGGCTTTTCCCTCTTTCCACTGTCATCAGGCCAAGAAGGCATGAGTGCTGGCTGCAGTGGGTGGGATGGGCGTGTTAAGCCACCAGCATCTCGGTATTTCGGGTCAGACAGCATGTCCCGGTGGACCAAAGAGAGGAAGGAGTGTCGCAGAGCCTGGGAGCTAGGGACCCGGCGCTCGGCTAGCTGTGGGAACACAGCCCGGCACTCCAGCCCCAGCTAGCTTCCCGGGCCACATTCTTGCTACCATCAAGGTGAAACAAAGGACCTGGAAACAAGTGAAACAAATGACTGGTGAAAATGCAGGCCAGCGGCTAGAGCAAGAGTGCAGCGGGTAGGGCATAGCCAACTCCCAGCATCCCGTATCTCATATGTCCCCTGGGCACCACCAGGAGTGATTCCTGAGTGCAGAAGAACCCTGAGCGTCGCCAGGTGTGACCCAAAAAGAAAATGGGACCAGAGTGGTAATACAGCAGGTACGGTGCTTGCTTTGCATGCAGCTGACCCAGGTTTGATTCCGGCATCCCATTTGGTCCCCTGAGCACCTCCAGGAGTAATTCCTGAGTACAGAGCCAGGAGTAACTCCTGAGCACCACTGGGTGTGACCCCCAAAACAAACCAGGAAACAAAAGTGGCCATAGCTGGCAGCGGCCACAGAGGCCACCCCTCTCAGTTGGAGGTTTTATGATCCTTGTTTTGTCTTCATACCTAAAACGTGTGTGTGTGTGTATGTACGTACGTGTGTCCTCTTTTCAAACACATGCTGCTTGAATTTCTCTCCCTACTTGAGACAATCACAGAGGCTCAGGCAGTGGAGCACAGTCCGTGCGCAGGTGAGGGCCTGGGTTCGATCCCCCCTGTGCTATGCAGCTCCTAAGCACTGCCACCCGAACTCCCACAATAGCAAGTTGAGGCTCGTGGAGCAGACCGAGAGGGCCAGGGCGGGAACATCCCTGAGGTCCGCAGGGCCTGGGGGAGATTGCGTTCAGGGTCAGCTGTCCCTGTTGCCCCTCCCCCGGGTGTCCTTTATGAGTTGGATGCACAAGGCCCTGACTTGATCCCCAGCCCACAGACACCACCACAACTTTGCTGGGCATGTCCCCCATGGCCTTCTGCGCCACCATCACCACGTGGCACACGCTGTCAGACCCACACACCCGGCCCAAGTGTCACCAGAAGTGGCCCCTGGGCCCTCAAGCACTGGGGACATCTCACTTCCTCCCTTCATCAGGGTTCATGCACTTCCGGCTAAGCCCCTGGGCCGCATAGTCAAATCCTGAGTGGCCCCCAAGGCCTGTGGCCTGAGCTCCCTTTGCCTGCCTGCAGCAGTGCTTCTCGGGTGGCCATGTCCCCTCCCTCCCCTCCGCTGATGGCGTGAGAAGGATAATGGTGGCTTTACAATGGTGGATGGTCGAACTGTAAATGAGTGGCGGCTTGCAGATCCCTCCGGCGTGGCCCACTCTGCAGCTGCAGTGGCACTGCTGTTCCTAATCATCGCCCTTTGGGTATATTCATCCACATCCACTGTTCAGGGGATGGAACAGTGGCCCTGAAACGCACTCCAAGTCCCGGGCAGAACTTCCTGGGTCATTGGGTCAGGACCCAGAGTCCCTCAGCCCCCGGGGCTGCCGGAGTGTGCGCTGCCTGTTTCCAGCTCAGGGTACCCATGAGCCCGGCCAGGGGTAAGCCCCAAACAAGAGGGAACAAGGCCAACCCACAACTGGCTTCTCTCTGGGCACCTTCGTGAGCACAGGCAGGGTAGCAGTGACCGCAGCAGTCAGCAGGGAGACTCCAGCAAGGCAGGCTCCTGCCGGGGTACCCTGACATGTGTCTGCTCATGCCCGAGGGCCCTGTGAGTTGCCTGTACACGGGGATTGGGGGAAGCCAGAAGTGAGCCAGGAGCCACGCTGAGCCGAATGCCACATTCTCACAGGCGGCAGCGGGTGCCCGAGAAGGGGCCTGGGTAGTGCTTGGCGGAGCCGTTTGTGGTATTGGGGCTCTGATCAGCTTCTAGAGTATGTGTTCAAGCCCTTGGAACTCTCTCCATCCCCTTTAGGATTCTAAATGCATGTGCTTAGGGAGATAGCTGACTGGGGCCAATGTCGAGGTGGAGACCAAGGATTTGGGGCCAACACAGTCCCCCTGAGCACCCCCGCAGTGGCCCTGGTGGTGGCCCCAGCACTGCGCGGCTCAAGCCCCATCAGGAATGGTCAGGAGAGGCCCCCAGGCCTTCACCACTACTTGGGGGACACCCCACCCCCAAAAACATGTCTCTCTCAAACCCTCTTGATCAAAAACAACAGGTTCGGGGCTGGAGCGATAGCACAGCGGGGAGGGCGTTTGCCTTTCACGCGGCCGACCGGGGTTCGATTCCCAGTGTCCCATATGGTCCCCTGAGCACCGCCAGGAGTAAGTCCTGAGTGCAGAGCCAGGAGTAACCCCTGTACATCGCCAGGTTGTGACCCCAAAAAGCAAAAAAAACAAAACAAAAAAACAGGTTCTCAACTTTGGAAAATTTGTCCTTTTTTCCCCCTCTCTATTTTTTGCGGTGTTGGGCCCAGACCCACGGCCTGCCTCCTCTCGTCCCACCCCACTGCCTGTCGTCACTCTGCCCCGGGTGTCTCGGAAGCCCGACAAAGCTGCAAGCACCTAACATGACCCTGTCTGTCTCCTCAGATCTGTGACCCCGAAAGCCACCCCTGTCCTCGGCCGTGGCTCCCGGTGCTGGCCAGAAGCCAGCTTCATGTCCGAGTGCGCAGGCGACAGCGGGCCATGGACAGCCTGGGCCTGCAGACGGTGACCCTCAGCGACGGGACGACAGCCTACGTCCAACAGGCTGTCAAAGGTGAGTGTGTGCCGGCCCAGGCCCGCTGACCGCAGCTCCCACCCACAGGTGCCTGGTGAAGAGGGAGTGCGGGCTCACACCCCACCCGGGCCCTCGCACACAATCCGGCTCAGCAGTGGGAGCCGAAACCTCTCAAAGGCCGTGCCCCTTTCATGTAGTTGGTGGTCAGTATTTCCGGAAAAAATGAAGGTGACGCTACTTAGGGCTCGGGGCTCTGCAGCCGCCCCTCCCCAGGGTCATAGCGCTTCGTGCTCTCAAGAAGCAGTTCATCGGGGCTGGTGTGATAACACAGCGGGTAGTGTGTTTGTCTTGCATGTGGCCAACCCGGGTTTGATTCCCAGCATCCCATATGGTCCCCAGAGCACCGCCAGGAATAATACCTGAGCGCAGAACCAGGAGTAACCCTTGTGCGTCACCAGGTGTGACCCAAAAAGCAAAGATAAAAAAAAGCTGTGGTCAAGAAGCAGTTCATCGTGGTTCAGGTTTGACCCCCAGGCAGCCAGGGATGTGGCTCAGTGGGAATGTGTGTGTGTGCTTTAACATGCATGAGACCTGGGTTTGATCCCTGGATCACCAACACACACACACACACACACACACACACACACACACACACACACACACTGCCCACTGTGGCCTAAAAGAAACACTTTGAGCAAGTTTTGACACTTTATCTACTAAGGGCTGGAATGATAGAACAGTGGGTAGGGCACTTACCTTACACACACTTGACCTGGGTTCAATCCCTGGCTTCCCATGTGGCCATACAGGAGTGATTCATGAGTGCAGAGCCACCAGGAGTAACCCCTGAGCACAGCTGGGTGTGGTAAAAAAAAAAAACCCTGTCTGCTGAGCACCTACATGTACAAGATCCACCTGTAGTTCAGAGAGTCCCCTGAGCGTTAACATACTGTACTTAAGTTCCCACCGGTGTTGCCAGACATAAAAACATAGGGCATATGGGCTCAATCCTAATTATAAATAAGCAGCAGTTAATTTTGCAGTTTAAGTATGTCCCAAACTCTGTTTGGGATCGACCCACATTAAACATGGGGTTAGATACTAAAAAAAATACGACAATGGGGTCTGGACCCGTAACAGCAGGGAGCGAGGGCACTTGCCTTGCATGTAGCTGACCTGGGTTCCCGCCCAGGCACTCCATATGGTCCCCCAAGTGCCATCAGGAGTGATTCCTGAAAGCAGAGCCAGGAGTAAGCCCAAAGCACCGTTAGGTGTGGCCCAAAAAGGACCCCCAAATTTAAAAGTTTCAACCCCTCCCCCGCTACAGTTTAGGAATATTATACATATTATACTGAGGTCTATTCAGGGCTGACCAACATCAGACACTGTTCTAAAAGTTTCCTGTTTATTAATTCTAACCATTTAACCCTAACACAAATGAAAAAGAAAAAAAATTGTTATTTTGGGGGAAGGGAGAGGACAATACCAGCAGTGCTCAGGGACAGTGCTCTGGCTCAGTGCTCGGGAGTGAACCGTGGATACTGGTAATAGCTGCTCTTCATTTCACCCTAGAGGTAATTGCTATTGTACACTTAAGGGGACTAATGATTGTTGTTTCTTTATGTCTGTGTTTATAACTATTCTGGCAAGCTCCCCAGGGTGTATTCGATATGCCAAAAACAGTAACAAGTCTCACAACTTGAGATGTTACTGGTGCCCACTCGAGCAAATTGATGAACAGTGGGAGGACAGTGCTACAGTGCAGTGCATATCGCTGTCTCGCTGTCATCCTGTTGGTCATCGATTGCCTCGAGCAGGCCCCAGTAACGTCTCCTTCGTCCTAGCCCCGAGATTTTAAAAGTGCCACATTCGAGACTCTTTCAGGGTCAGGAGAATGAGACCCATCATTGTTATGGTTTTTTGGCATATTGAAACGCCGCGGGGAGTTTGCCAGACTCTGCCGTGTGGGCAGGACACTTTTGGTAGCCTGCCAGGTTCTCCAGAGTGCACATATCTATTCCTAATTCGTGCATTAGTTGTACTAAAGCAAGGCTTGTCCAAGTGTTTTTGTTGTTTGGGTTTTTTTTTTCCCCTCCTTTTTGAGGCCCTACTTGGTGGTGCTCAGGGGTTACTCCGGGCTCTGCACTCAGGAATTACCCCTGGCAGTGCATGGGGCACCATATGAGATGCTGGGGATCGAACCTGGGCCAGCTGCATGCAAGGCAAGCGCCCTCCCCGCTGTGCTCTTGCTCCGGCCCAGGTTTGCCTAACTTCTTTCCCTCCCAGCAGACACCACACCGGGTGGTCTCATCGCCCCTGCATCTGATCTCCTCTAGCGTTTATCACATTTACTGCCTGCCAGCCTCAAGCCAAGACTTCTTGCTACATTTTATGTCCTCATTATTATTATTATTTTTTTATGTCCTTATTCTTAAGGAATCAGGAGTGACTCCAGGGAGTGCCAGGGAGTGAACCAGGGTGAGCAAACGCCTCGCCCCTATCCTATCTAGCCCCCTTAAGAAGATAATTTAAAGTACATAGCTTTCTTTAGGAAATAGAGAGCCCCATAAAGTAAGAGGGTGGGGGGAAGATAAAATGAAAATCATCTGTTTGGGGCCACACCAAATGCTGTCCAGGGTTTCGGGCCCTCTACTCGGACTCTCCCCTACTCGTGCTCAGGGGACCCTGCCGTGCCAGGGGCTGAACCCCCGCCTCTTGTCAACAACGCAGGTGGCTCTCGCCCTCTGAGCTGCCTCTCCACCCTAGAAGATAACAGTTTGTTTGGGAGCCACACCCAGCGGGGCTCAGGACTTGTGCTCAGGGATCATCCCTGGCAGTGCTTGGGGGGTTTGCATGTAGTGCTGGGGGTCACACCCAAGTTGACTGTGTGTGAGGCAGCCTTACCCCTCTATAGTGTCTATCCAGCCCCAAAAGCATCATTTCCCCCCCCTTTCTCACTTGGAGAGTCCGAGTGTTCCTGCCCGGGATCGAACCAGGGACCTTTTGCGTGTGAGGTGAACGAGATAACCTCAGGCTGGAGTGATAGCACAGCGGTAGGGTGTTTGCCTTGTACACAGCCTGCCTGGCCGAGCCGGGTTCGATTCCTTCGCCCCTCTCGGAGAGCCTGGCAAGCTACCGAGAGTATTCAATATGCCAAACACAGTAACAAGAAGTCTCATAATGGAGATGTTACTGGGCCTGCTCGAGCAAATCGATGAACAATGGGAGGACAGTGTTTGTTTATTTGTTTGTTTCTCACTTGGAAAGGAAACCTGGCCTGGAGAGGCTTTGTAAGGGAGGGCGAGCCAGGCCCGTGCACACCCCAGGCCGGGACTGAAGCCCAGGGCCCAGCTGGCTGCAGAGCCCCGAGTGTCTAATCGTGCACAGTGCCACGACAATGAGACTCAAGGGGGAGGGTGTCTCTGTCTGGTTGGGACCATTTCAGACCCACTGGGGGCTCAGCGGACCTTGGGGCACCTGTGGTTCACCGTCTAGTTTGGTCTCTGCCTCCGGTTAGGCGGGAGTCCCCACTGGAGTGGGAGGGCAGGGTAGGGTGGGGGGCAGGGGAATGGGTGGGTGACGCTGCACTTCCTGGCGGTGGCTGGAAGGGAATCTGGGGGGGGGGGGCTGAGGGCGTCTCGCACAGGATCTGAGGCAGGAGGGGGGTGACCAGGAGAGGCCCCCAGTGTTCGGACGCACAGACTTTGCCTCTGCTCCATCTCTCCATTTCCACCTCCACAGGAGACAAACTGCTCGAAGGACAAGTGATCCAGCTGGAGGACGGGACCACCGCTTACATCCACCAAGTGACCGTGCAGAAAGGTGAGGGCGGGGGTGGAGCAATAGCACAGCAGGTAGGGCATTTGCCTTGCATGTGGCCAACCCGAGTTTGATTCCCAGCATCCCATGTGGTCCCCTGAGCACTGCCAGGGTAATTCCTGAGCACAGAGCCAGGAGTAACCCCTGTGCATCGCCAGGTGTGACCCAAAAAGCAAAAAAAAAAAAAAAAGGTGAGGGTGGCCTGGGACACCCCAGCCGCGTGGGCAGCCGCCCCCAGGACCCCAGCCCGGCGCAGGCCAGAGAGAAAGACGGGCATCACTCTCGTTGCAGAAGCGCTTTCCTTCGAAGATGGGCAGCCCGTCCAGCTGGAAGACGGCAGCATGGCCTACATACACCGCACCCCCAAAGGTGGGCCCCACCACCGCGGTGGGGATGGGGGAGACAGGCTGATGCACTGTAAGAAGCGGGAGTACACGGGGAAGCTGCCCCAGATCTGTGGCCTTGCCCACCTTCCCTGGGCCAGAAAGTGGGCAGAGGGGCTGGGGCGATAGCACAGCGGAAAGGGCATTTGCCTTGCATGCGGCTGACCCGGGTTCGATTCCCAGCATCCCATATGGTCCCCCCCAAGCACCGCCAGGAGTAATTCCTAAGTGTAGGGTCAGGAGGAACCCCTGAACATCGCTGCGTGTGACCCAAAAAGAAAAAGAAAAGAAAGTGGTTAGGGTGGATAAGGGAGGTTAGAGGGCAGGGTGGGCGACTCTGTGCTGACTCTGCGCTCAGGGATCACTCCTGGTGGTGCTTAGGGGACCCTTTGGGGTGCCAGGGATCGAACCTGGGTCAGCCACGTGCAAGGCAAACGCCCTCCCCGCTGGACTATCGCTTCAGCCTCTCACAGTTGGATCCATGAGGCCACTGAGGAGCTCATCTCTCGGCATCCAGCCCTGACACCCCCTAAGATGCCGCTTGAGGAGATTGGGGGCCTGGGGGGGCAGCAGCTCGGGGGCTCCCCTGGAACAGATGGTTGGCCTGCCCGGAGGCAGCATCCTGACTTGCTCTCGTGTACCCCAGAGGGCTTCGACCCCAGCACCCTGGAAGCTGTTCAGCTGGAGGACGGCTCCACGGCCTACATCCACCACCCCGCAGCCGTGCCGGCCGATGGCACCATCCTGGCCGTGCAGACGGAGGTGGGCCTGGAGGACCTGGCCGCCGAGGATGAGGAGGGCTTCAGTGCAGACACCGTGGTGGCCCTGGAGCAGTATGCCAGCAAGGTGAGCGCACAGGCCGCCCCGTGGCCCGGCCTCTTAACCCAGCTCCCCCGACAGCTTGTGTATATCCTCGCCGGGGCCTGTATCCCCGCCCCTGACAGCTGTGTGCGCTCTGCCTTGTCGGTGCCCTGGCTGCGGAGGGCTGGCTGCTGTAAGGGACAGTGACAGCTGGGAGCCCGCTCCCTGGGCTGTAGAAACGCTGCTTTTACGAGACGGCTGAGATGCCCCAGCGGGTGACCCCAATCTCGGGGCTCTGAGGTCAGGCGGTCCCGGGTCTATTTCTGCTGTGCGCCTCACTCAGTCATCTGGGGAAGTCACCTCAGCAGCCGGGGACGGCCAGGCGGAGACTGCAGGGACAGCTGGGCCTTTCGGAACCGGAGCCGCCCGCCCATCCCTGTTGCTGAGACCTGGGCGTCGCGCCGAGCCTCTGCTGGAGCCCATCCTGTGCCCTGCCTGCAAGGGACAATGGCAGGATCCGAGAGCCTGATGCGTCCCTCCCTCCTGCTGCAGGCCTCGGGCTATGCCCAATGGCTCCCTGGAGCACTGACTTCCCCCAGACTGGGCTTTTTTTTTTTTTTGAGTCATACCCAGTAGTGCTTGGGGGTTTCCTCCTGACTCTGTCCTCAAAGATCACTCCTGGGGGTGCTCAGGGGACCACATGAGGTGCCAGGGATCAAACCAGGGTCGGCCACGTGCAAGGCAAACTCCTTCCCCACTGTGCTGTTGCTCAGTGCCCCCCTCACTGGGCACGACGGCAGACCGCTTTAGACTGTGCCCCCTCTTAACTCCTGCCCACACCACCCCAAAATATTAGGCCCTGGATTTGAGGCTCAGACTGATGCGAGGACACTGGGGTGTGTCCTGGCCTCCCCCTGGTCTGGCTGGGGCCTCCCCTCTTCCCTCCACTATGCCAGAAGGAGGGACCCGGCAGCTCTGATGTGTCAGGATTCCCTCATTCCCTTGAGAACGTGGGGATGGAATCTGAACGTTTGAGGGGTGAACCCGCTGAGCAGATCCGTGACCCACCAGCTGCTCCTGTGCCAGGGAACTGTGTGGCTCCTTGACCCCTGGCTGGAGCCGACGAGACAGATCAGATTGCCAGATTCTCGCCTTCCTCTATGGAGGGGTGTGGGGAAGGGGAACACAGCCGGCAGTGACCAGGCACCCCAGGCCTCCCAGCCACCTCCTGGCCAAGACCTCACTCTTTGGTTCCCTGCTCACCAGACGGTCTTCCAGAGGTCTGTTTCAGAAAGGCCAGAGTGTTCCAGGAACAAAGGTCAGGAGAGTCCAGGGGCAGGCCCAGGGGTCCGGTGTGGGGAGGACCGTCCAGGTAGCCAGGCCAGAGCTGAGTTGGGCGCCCACTGGCCCCTGGCCCTTGGTAACCCAGCTCCCAGAGCAGGCCTTCTCCCCGTCATCCTCCAGAACACAGGCCTCTGGGGGTCGGGCCCCTCCCATGGGGTGCAGCCCCTGGCATTGTGGCCTCCTGGTGGACTGCTGGCTCGCAACCTAGCTCCAGGCTGACACTCCCTCCTGCCCCCCCAACCCCCTCACATGCACTCGCACATGGCCTTTCTGCTCTGGGTCACAGCTCCTGTGAGTGACCACTGCCTCCTACTGACCTCAGAGCCAGCCCCATCCTCCTGCAGTGTCTGTTGTCCCACCCCCACCCCACATCCGTCTGCTCTGACTTCCCAGCTTGCCCTGTGTCCCCCCTCCCACCACATACACACACACACACACACACACACAAACACACAACACACAACACACACACACACCACTCTGCCCCCACCCGGGCAGGGTGACCCTGTTATCGGGTCTGTGCTCTTCTCCTCCAGGTTCTGCAGGACAGTGAGGCGCCCCCCAACGGCAAGGCACAGCAGGTCGGGGACCGGGCGTTTCGCTGCGGCTACAAGGGCTGCGGGCGCCTCTACACCACGGCGCATCACCTGAAGGTGAGCTGGACCCCTGCTCAGCCTTGCGGCCTGGGCACCGCTGCTGTCAGCGTGGGGAGGCTGGCGCCCGTCCCCCCACTGACGATGCGGTGGCTGCCTGCCCCCCAGGTACACGAGCGTGCCCACACCGGGGACCGGCCATACAGGTGCGACTTCCCCAGCTGCGGAAAGGCCTTCGCCACAGGTAACTGACGCTGGGGGACCGAGGGCCAGCAAGTCAGGCCGCCTTCCTGCGGCATGCCGGAAGGAGGGGAGGGTGGGCTCCCCCCAAATGAGTCCCCAGCTTCCCTCTCGCTCCACACTGCAGCCCCCGAGCGCTGCCTGGGCAGTGCAAGGCCAGGGCAGGCACCATCCCCGGAAGCGGGGCCCCGGGGAGGTAGAGGAAAGGCAGGAAGCCAGCTCCCTCCGAGTGCTGCCCTCACCCCTGCCCAACTCGACCAGGCTACGGGCTCAAGAGCCACGTGCGCACGCACACCGGGGAGAAGCCGTACAAGTGCCCGGAGGAGCTGTGTAGCAAGGCCTTCAAGACCTCGGGGGACCTGCAGAAGCACGTGCGCACGCACACCGGTGAGGCCGGCGCCCGCCGCGCCCCACGCCCGCCGCGCGCCCATCCCCGCCTGGCCGGCCCCGGGCGCCACTGTCCCCTCCGCACCCCGTCTCCGCAGGGGAACGCCCCTTCCGGTGCCCCTTCGAGGGCTGCGGCCGCTCCTTCACCACATCCAACATCCGCAAGGTCCATGTGCGCACCCACACAGGCGAGCGGCCCTACACCTGCCCCGAGCCGCACTGCGGCCGCGGCTTCACCAGCGCCACCAACTACAAGAACCACGTGCGCATCCACACAGGTGGGCCCGCTGGCATGCCAGGACCGCCCCCCCTGCGGCCCCCCGCCGGCGTCTCCCCCTTTTGCCAGTCTCCCGGTGCAGCGCGCACCTCCTGCAGCAGATGGGGCTGCCCCCACCTGTGTCCACAGCCATGCCCCGGCTCCCACCGCCTTGAGCGCGCGCCCCTTTCTGCTGAGCTCCTGCTAGAGCCGGGCTGAGGCCAGCGGGGGAGGAACGGACTGGAAGGTCCCCTGGCAGCCCCTCGCCTCCCCCCACGGTCCTCACGACTCCAGGGGTCCCGCCTCTGCAGCGCCAGCCCCAGTTCCCGACTCACCACCCACCAGCCCCAACCTTCCCGGCAGCTGCCTGACCCCTTCCTGCTCGGCCCCCCCACGCACACCAGGGCCCGGGCTCCACCTGACCCACACCCACGTGCCCACTCTGTGCCCTGCCCCTCGGCCAGCCCCAGTGCCCCCCTCATGACAGCCCAGTGTCCCCAGGGGAGAAGCCCTACGTGTGCACGGTGCCGGGCTGCGGGAAGCGCTTCACTGAGTACTCGAGCCTGTACAAGCACCACGTGGTGCACACGCACTGCAAGCCCTACACATGCAGCTCCTGCGGCAAGACCTACCGGCAGACGTCCACGCTGGCCATGCACAAGCGCAGCGCCCACGGCGAGCTGGAGGCCACGGAGGAGAGCGAGCAGGCGCTGTACGAGCAGCAGCAGCTGGAAGGTGAGCGGGGCCGGGCGGGGCGCAGGGAGGACCCCGGCCTGCCGCTCCCCTCGGCTGGGCAGGCGTCAGCCGGGACTCCCCGCCACCCCCGCAGCCGCCTCTGCCGCCGAGGAGGGCCCCCCGCCGCCCAAGCAGCCCCGCATCGCCTACCTCTCGGAGGTGAAAGAAGAGGGCGACGAGGCCCCAGCCCAGGTGGCCATGGTGACCGAGGGGGACGGCGCCCCTCAGGTGGCTCTCATCACTCAGGACGGTGCCCAGCAGGTACGGGGGAGGGGACGGCCGGACGGGGCCCCTCGCTCTCCTCCCAGGGACTCCCAGAGGCCTGATATTCTCCTGACCGCCCTCCCAATGCCCCCCCCCACATGTGTAGTTTCTCTGTTTTCTATTTTGGTTTTATTTTTTTGTTATAGTTTTTACGCCACACCTGGTGCTGCATGGGGCTTATTCCTGGCCCATACTTAGGGGACCATGTGGGATGCCAGGGATTGAACCTGGGTTGGCCGCGTGCAAGGCAGGTGCCCTTCCCGCTGTACATCTGCCAACCCCAGTGCAGTTTTTCTCCTTAGCCTGCAGGCGTCAGGGCTGAGGCTGAGGGTGCCAGCGATACCAGGGAGGCCTGTTTCCTGTGGGCGAGGGGGACTCAGGGCTGCGAGGACACAGCCGTTCCTTGGGTTCCCCCGTCCTCCGTGTCCATGGCTGCCTTGTTGGCATCAGGGCCAGAGCCAGGCTGGTGTAGACAGCCATGTCCTGCCCCCAGCACTTGTCCTGTCCTGACTTCACCTGTTCTCGGGCACTGATCAGAGGAGAGCCTTAGTTGCAGGGGACAGTGCCCTAAGGAGAGGGCAGAGTGGACAGAGGTCACTCACTGCAACCCAGGGCCTCCTGAGTGCCTGTGTCCTCGACCGTCTCGTCCTGGTGATGTGTGGTGTCCTTCCAGCGGGCACCTGGGGACAGAGCTGCCCTGTGTGCCTGGGGGACACTCCCCCCTCACCTGCCTCCCCACCGGCAGGTCAGCCCGTCCCCAGAAGGCGAACAGGCCCTGAGCAGTGACATCAGTGTAGTGGCCCAGCATGGCAGCTCCAGCCTCACCATCCCCAGCCACCAGGATGGCCTGGCCTCATCCGGCACACATACTGCCACCATGGTCAGTGCCAGTGGCACCCAGACACAGCCCAGATGACCGGGCGTTTGCTTGGGTTTTCTTCTTGTCCTTCTATTGAGGGTGGCATTCACGGGCAGCTTTCCTTGGGGTCACACCTTAAAAGCTCCAAGATCCCACCAAGAGAAGGGTCTTCCCCGGCCAGCTGCAGCTCACAGCTTGAGAATTCTTGGCTGGCGTGAAGGGACAGTTTCTTTCTTTCTTTCTTTTTTTTTCAAATTTTTATTAGTGAAACACCATGAGGTACAGTTGTAGACTTACAAATTTTTGTGCTTGGGTTTCAGTTATACAGTGATCGCGTACCCATCCGTCCACCAGTGCCCATTCTTCACCACCACTGATCCCAGTATCCTTCCCACCCCCCATTCCCCCCATCCCACCCTGCCCCTGTGGCAGGGCATTCCGTTTTGTTCTCTCTCTCCTTTTGGGTGCTGTGGTTTGCAAAAGAGGCATTGAGTGGGAATCATGTTCGGTCTATAGTCTACTTTCAGCGTGCTTCTCCCATCCTGGACGAATCTTCCCAATACCCTTTATTTGGTGTTCCCTTCTCTGTCTGAGCTGCCTTTACCGCTAGAGTGTGTGGCTGGCCTCCAAGCCATGGAGTGAACCTCCTGGTACTTATCTCGGCTATTCTTGGGTGTTAGTCTCCTATTTTGTTACTTTATGTTCCCCAGATGAATGCAATCTTTCTATGTCTGTGCAAAGGAACAATTTCTAAACCGCCGTCTAGCCCTCACCTGCCCTCCCTGTAGGCGGTTGCCGCCCTTGAACTTCACTTCCCAGGGAGGGGTGGAGGATCTCGGAGGCCTTTCAGAGCTCAGTTCTCTTAGGGCTCAGAGTCCCTAAAGGAAGGGAGTTAAACCACACCCCCTCCCCCGGCTCCATGCTGACCCACGGTGGCGTCCATTCCCTGTGGGCGTTTGCCTCCCTGCTTCTGGGGAGAGACCCCCGGCGGGCGGGGTGGAATAGGTTCTCCTCTGTTCCAGGTCACCATCATTACCTCTGGGGCCGTGGTGGCTGAGGACACGGGTGTCACATCCCTTCACCATCAGCAGGTGGCGCTGCTGGCCACGGCCAACGGGACTCACATCGCTGTGCAGGTGGGTGGGAGGTAGTAGGGATCCCTCTGGGGGGACATGTGGCCACCTGGAGGCACCAGCCCCCTTATACCCCTGCCCGTTCTCCACACTGCCCACCTGGCCCCCGCAGTCCCCGGGGTCACTGATGCCAGCGGCCTCCCTGCTCTGCTTCTCTGCGTCTCCACTTCTTCCTCCGGAGAGTGGGGAGGCCAGGGTCCTCCTGTGATCCGGGTGGTGGTGGGGGTCACTCTGAGCCTGGACTCTGGCGGTTCCTGGCCGTGCCTTACCTAATAGTACCCTGGGCAGCTTGTTTATCAAGGACTGTCTGGGGGCTCCCCACGACGCACTGCAGGACTGAGTGTGTGGCTTGGGGTGGGCGGGGCTGGATGGGGGAGCGTGCACTGCGGCCGCTGACCGTGTCCCCCCAACAGCTGGAGGAGCCGCAGACCCTCGAGGAAGCCATCAGCGCGGCCACGGCTGCCATGCGACACGGGGCCATCACTGTGGAGGCTGCTGCGTCCGAGAGTGGCTGCTGAGCCCAAGTGCTGGGTCCCGCACTGCACCACGTCGGAGACAGGGTGCCCAGCCCGTGGCCAGCTTCTGGAAAGTGGCCACACGCGTCTCCAGGGCCGAGGGCAGCAGGAGAGCAGACCAGCCACAGGGGACGGCAGCCCTGCCCTGGCGGAGGGCAGACCGCTGGAATCAGGGGTGCTCCTTCCTCAGACACTCAGGAGAACAGACTGGATTGGATGCCAGCCTGCATCTGAGGGCCCCCCTCGGGGTCAGCAGGCGCCGACGCTCCTCTCGCTCAGGAGCACCCTCGTGCCCACCATCCACTCCCCTGCTCAGGTGGCAGCAGGGCTCCGGAGGAACTGGCCGTCCCCTTGCGCTGGTCACTGCCCATCGGGGAGAGGGCAGCCAGCTCCCCTCTCAGCAATACGCACTCGCCAGAGGCCAGCAGCGACGCCTGGCCTACCCCCCTGCAATCAGCCTCCCTCAGGGGTCTTCGCTGCAGAGAAAGTGCCCAGCCCCCCTCCCCCACCCCTGCTCCCCACCTCCTCAGCATCCCCCCAGCCTCTCTGTGGCGGAGAGGCAGAGAGCGGCCTTGTACATACTGGGGATTTGGGTTTACATTTTTTTTTAATTCCATTTTGATAATCTTTTTTTTTTTCCTGCTCTGGACGGTGATGGCAAACGGGTGAATGAGTATTTAATAAAAAGTTTCAAGTTTCCACGCGGGTCGCTCCCTCCTCTGAGCCTCAGGCCCCTGTGGCAGGTGGGGCAGCACAGCCGTTAGCTTTGGGTGCCCGGTGCACACTGTACCCAGCCAGGGCGGGCATCGTCTGGTGGAAGGCGGGGGCTGAGCTGAGCCCTGAGGAGCTGCCAGTGGCTTCCTGCCAAAGAGCTGCACGTTGACTCCAGGATGGGCACACAGGGCCGGCGGGTGGGGGGTGTCTGGCGGCAGCGGCGGTGGGCACCACTTCTAGGCGCCGCTGGGCCTCAGGCCTCTGAATGAGCTGCTGATTGGTTTCTGGTTTCGTTCGGGGGAGTGCAGTGCTCAGGGGTCACTCCCTGCAGTATTCAGGGGACCGTGGGATGCCAGGATTGAACCTGGACCTCCTGCATGCAGAGCGCGTTGTTCCCCACCTTTCTCTGTCCCACGTGGTCAGCATAACCCCCACCTTTACGCTGCACGCACCCACACTGGCGGAGCCCCCTATCGGGTGGAGGTGGGGTGGGGGGCTGTGTCGAGGTGACTGAGGGTCTTTGGTGAGAACATCTCTCCAAGATCCAGCCCAGGGGGTGCCCATCTCAGGGGCTGGACCATGCCACGGAATCCCCACCCCCCCCACCCCCGTCCCCCGCCACGGTGCTATCCCATTGAGGGGCGATAGCCACTGAAAGCCCCCACTGGAAGGAAGGGAAACAGGAAGAAGCTGGGAGAAGGGAGGTCTGGGGGTCACCTGTTGGGGGACAAGCAGCAGGGCGTGCCTGTTCCCTCTGCCCTGCCACCAGCTGTCCCCCTTGCCCACCTCCTGGGAGCGGGACCCTCCCCTCGGACCCGAACTGCGTGTCCACCCAGGCTAGGGAGTCGCCATGGCCTGAACCTATTTCCTTTACTCGGCCCTGGACTGGGCCGGTGTGGCCCTCAGGGAATTGAAGCTGGAGATGGAAGTGCCGGGTACCACCACCTGCCGCCAGCCCCCCTGAAGGTGGGGTCCCCAGGAGCCCACCCCGCGCGCGCGCGCGCGCGCTTCCCTCAGTGCAGCCCCGAACGAGCGGGCAGTGCCCTGGGCGCGTTGAGAGCCAAAGCCCAGAGGATGGGCGGCAGCCAAGTGGCCTGACCCGGAGAGGCGAGGCGGCCTGGGCAGCTCGCTCCCTCCCCCGGTCCTGCATTGTGGCCTTTTGTTTGCCACCGCCACCGCAGGCCGGCCAGAAGGTCCTCAAAGGAACGCTTTCTCCTCCGTGCCGCCTCGCCTGCCCAGCCATTCTCGAACATTCCTGACACTCGTGGAGGGGCCCCTTCTCGGTGCCTTCCCACCTAGGACACTGCACCAGGGCGCGCCGGCAGGCGAGAGATGGAGACGGGCGCCCCTGCCCCCCGCCCCGGGCCGGCCGGCGCGGGGCCCGCGGCGCGGGGCTGAGGGTGGTCGTCCCCGGGGCCGGACAGTCCGGCGGGGCGGCCTTCGCGGGGCTGACGGTGCTGGGCCCGGGCCGGGTGGGCCCCCGCGGGCGGGTCGGGCGCGCAGGCAGGTGGAGCTCGCGCTCCGCCGGGCCCCTGCGGTCTCGGCAGCCGTTTGCATTTCCTGAAACCGGATCTGGGCGTCGGAGCCGCCCCCGGCCGGCCGGGCGGGCGGGTGCTCAGCCATGGCCCTGCGCAAGGAGCTGCTCAAGTCCATCTGGTACGCCTTCACCGCGCTGGACGTGGAGAAGAGCGGCAAGGTGTCCAAGTCCCAGCTCAAGGTGAGGGGCGCGCGGCGCGGGGGACCGCGGCTTGCCGTCGGGCGCGCAGGAGCCGCGCCAGCCCCGCGCGCTCCCCGGAGGGGGCCCGCGCGCGCGCGCTCTGCCGAACGCCGGGCACTGCGGCCCCGGGGAGCGGCTGCTGCTGCTGCCCATCGTCCGCCCACCCTGGGGAGGAGTACGCAGAGCCCCGGCCCTGGGGGTGCGGGGTCGGGAGGGTTCGAGTAGGGTGGGTAATGAGGGCCAGGCCGGCTCCAGACTGGGTGATGAGCAGAAAACGCTCCAGTCAAGTCCAGACACGCATCCTCCTCCCTGGGGAGACAGTTAGTCGGTGCTTGTCATTCACTTCCCCTCCACCCCGCAGCGGAGACCCACTTGAGGGTCTCCCGCCCCAAAGTCACGCTGGTCCACCAGGTCCCCGGGACCCTGCCTCCTCAGGGGCACTGCTGGCTGGGGGCCAGGGCTGAGGTCCCAACCCCCCCACGCACCCTGGTCCTCGAGACTCACGCCCCGGGTGAGGGGCAGAATCTGAGCCCAGGGATAAGTCCCCTCCAGGACGGCCCGGAAGTTCCTTCCTTTTGGCCCACGAGTGATGAGTTTCAGCCGCCTGGGATCCAGCCCAGTGAGGGCTGCCTTCTCCACCCTCTCCCGTGGGCTGGGATCAAGCAAGCACTGAGACTGAGGAAAGGAGCTGTTTCAGGGGTCCACTCCCCAGAGGCTCAAACATTGGGGGTCCTCTGGAGCGAGACAAGGCAAACCCCCAAAGATGGCTCATAGGAAGAGTGTGAGAGTTTGTGTGTGCGTTGGTCACGGTAGGGGGTGTCAGTAGGGGCTCTCCACAGGAAAGGGGGCCAGGAAAACACCCAAATGTGCCTAGGGTGAAGCTAGGCCCTAGACTCCTGAGGTGACCCTCGACATCCGCTGGGTCCCCACCGGAAGGAGGGGTGCCATCTCCAGGAAACCTTCGAGGAGGCGGAGTTTGGACACCTGAAAGCCGAATAGGTCATGACAGGCACCCCCTGCTTTGCTAAACTTGGGCCCCTGAGCATGCCTGTCCCAAACGGGCCCCCACCCCCTCACCTGCATTGTGAACACCCAACGAAAGACCCTGGACTTCCCCAGGGCCCGACCCTGCTCCCTGCTGAACCCTCCTGCCACGCTGCTTAGACCTTTGCACCACCGACTGTGTGGTCCAGCTGGGGCTTTTGTAGAGCAATGGGGGGAAGACCCCTCGCAGGGCTCAGTGCGTGCATGGAACGCCCGCTCCCCATCCAGACTTCTGGAACTATCCCAGCTGCCCACCTTGGTGGCTGCCATGACACCCCCTTGCTTCTTCCTGCCACCTGTGGTCTCCGTGACCTCCACGGGCTCCTTCTGCCCCTCACCTCTGGCGGTAGGGCCCTCAGGTGCTTCCCCTCTTGCTGATGCATCAGCCTGACGTTAGTGGGTTTCCTAACTTACACCCACTCCCCCTCCCCCCCGCCAACACGCACACACAGGTTGCGTATTTGTAGGGAAGATTCTATAGCGAAGTCCCAGAGAGAGAACTCGCTGGGCGGAACACAAGCCCTGCACGGAGGGGGCCGGGATCCGTCCCCAAGCAGCGGCCCCTTCTCCACCCCCCACCAGCATCACCCAGTGTGACCCCCCAGACCATGGGAACGTGTAGATTTAGGGTATCTGCTGTTGGTATCTGCTGTTGCCCTGCCCAGCAGTGGGGGGCCTGGGCCTGGTGGAGGGTGGAGGCAGATACGGGGAGAGCCCTGGGTCTCGAAGGAAGGGAAGGGGAGGCCGTCCTCCCCACAGGCCACCGAGGTGGAACCTAGAACGGGAGGAAGTCGTGACGCTGCTGGGGGTGGGGATGTGACAAGACTCCGGAGCAAGGCAGAAGTGGTCAGAAGTCGGAGGAGGAGCAGAGACATGCGGGTCCCCTCGCTCCCCACTGCAAAGGCAGAGGGAGGAAGGGAGGGGTTGCTGGGGTCCGCCTGTGCTCACTAGAACTCCCTCCTCAGGCCCTCCACTGGGAGCGGCAGGAGGCAGCCCTGCTCTGCCTGGGTCCTCACTTCTCTACCGGTGTCCCAGGGTTGGGGGGGCCCAGCCCAGGACTGGCACAAAGACAGTAGACCCCCGAGTTCCTCTGTGAGGCCCAGGCAATCGGATTGAGAAGGCTGGGGGAAAGACAGAGGAGTTTGCCTTGAATTCTTTTTGTTGTTTTTGTATTGGAGCCATTCCCAAACAGTGCTCAGGGCTGACTCCTGGCTCTGTGCTCAGGGATTACACCTGGTGGGCTCGGGGTACCATAGTGGGGTACTGGGGATGGAACCTGGGTTGACCACGTGCAGGGCAAGTGTATTATCTCTCCAGCCCTTGTTTCGAATTCTTGTAGGAAACACACTGGTCTTTCTCTGGGTGGGTTGGGAATAGTAAAATATAGGTCAGTATAAGAATGAAACCCACCTGCCCAAAAACGCAAAACAAAACGACATTTGGGGGCTTGTGGAAGAACGGCACTTCTTTCCAAAATGAACCCAGAATTTTTTCAGATTCTGAGGTATTTGATTTGATTTGATTTGATTATTTATTTTGTGTGTGTGTGTGTGTGTGTGTGTGTGTGTAGGGGTAGGTGGTAGATTGGCCACACCCAGAGGTGCTCAGGGCTTCCTCCTGACTTGTGCTCAGGGGTCACGGCTAGCAGTGCCGAGGGAACCCGGGGCGGGGGGGGTTCTGGGGTTTAAACTGAGGCTCGCCATGGGGTTTAAACTGAGGCTCGCCATGTGCAAGGCGACCTCCTTAATCCTGTGCTATCTCTCTGGCCTAATTCTAGATTCTGCGGGGTCCCCTACAGCTTCTTTCTCTAAAGAACTTTTTATTATTTATTTATTTGGGGGTTTAGGCTCAGGGCTTGTTCTTGGCTCTGCATTCAGAGATCACTCCTGGCAGGGCTTGGGGAACCCCACAGGGTGCCAGGAATGAAACCTGGTTAGCTGTGTGCAAGGCAAGTGCCCTCCCTGCTTACTAGCACTCCGACCTTTCTCTAAAAGAAGTTTTAAGGTGAGTAGCTGGGCCAGAAAGACAGCTTGAAGGGCCGGAGCGCATGCTTTCCACGTTAACACGCGGCAGCCCAGCCCAAGCATGACGCCTGGAGTAACCCCCTCCCCCCACCCAGCACTGCCAGGTGTGACCCAGAATTAGAAGAGAAAAACGCAAGAGTAGCAGAGGATGGGTTTCCGGGGCCACCTCGCCTCCCAGTGAGCAGCTTTGTACTTGGGCCTTTCTGGAAAGCCGAGAATGGGGCCTCCTGGCTCCCTGGCGGCCAGCCCTGGGGTCGTGTGCAAAGCTGGGACTGGGGGTGTACAGGGACAGGGCACTGAGTCTCCGCAGGCGGGCGAGATGAGGCTCTTAGGAACCAGCAGTTCCCACTACTTGCCCTGGTAGATGGAAGCTAGCAGGTGGGGGTCTTCCCTGCTCAGCTCTGTTCTTCCAAGCCCTCGAACTTTGGGGACCACCCCGGGCTAGCCTGGGACCAGGAGGACAAGATGCTCTTGTGCCTTGAGCATCTTTGGGGGACAGCCGTCTCCTGTGGAGGGGTAGTGAAGAACAACTGAGTCTAGGATTCTAGGGGGTCGAGGCACCAGCTTCCCGCCACCCCTGACCAGCTTCCCTGCCCGCTGACTCCTGGGACCAGAATTACACAGTGGGGCTGAGGGACAAGCAGGGGCCTGGCTGCGTGAGCCTGGTGAGTCCCGGCCCTTCTCCAAGCTCCCCTGTGTCGTCTGGGAAGCCAGAGGCCTCCGCAAGCTTTCCCAGTCCGTCCGGAGGAACAGATGTTAGCCAAGTGCACGCAGGGCCGGTAGGAAATCCGACCACTACATCCAGGCCTGCTTGTTCTCAGCATGACTCAGGTCCAGAAGTTCTCACCTCCATCAAGCTCCGTTCCTCACTCATTAGAGCTCTACAAAACAGAAGAAGACATTCAGTAACTCCTTTGTTTGGTTTTGTTGTTTTGGCCACACCCTGCTGTGTTAAGGACTTTCTCCTGGCTCTGTGCTCGGGATCATTCCTAGGAGGGCACAGGGGACCCTATGGGATGCTAAAGATTCAACCCTGGTGTGATTGAATCCCCACTGTGCTCTTGCTCCGGTCCCCAGGGCCCCATCGGTAGCTCTTTAAAGATCTGGATTTTAGGGCCAGGGAGATGGCTGGGACTTGTCATCCCAACACCACATGGTCCCCCAAGAACCTCCAGGAATGATTCTTAAGCACATTCCAGGGGTGTCCCCCAGGTATGCTCAATCCCCTAACCCCCTCCTCCCAAAATCTGTAGTTTTGTATATGTTTTAGGGCCACGCCAAAGGTGCCCAGGGCTTACTCCTGGCTCTGTACTCAGGGATCACTCCTGGTGAGGTTCCGGACACTGTGTTGAACCCAGTCAACTGCGTGCAAGGCAAGCACCCCTACCCTCTGTTTCCTCTCTCCCCGATCCCCCAATCTGTATTTATTTTTTAGAGTCCCTTGGTTCCGAGATGCATCTGGGAGAGAGATCATTCCCCCCTTTTTTTTTTCCTGCAGCATCAGTTAGTGCTTCGGTGCTTTCCTGCACCCCACAGCACCCCCTCACCCCCACCTGCAGTTACTCCTGAATGGTGGGAGCTGTAAAACTTACAAGGGGCCTTGCGCCAGCCACTCTCCTCACACTTGGCTTTCAGGGGACTTCACGCCTCCAGCGGAACTGGGGAGCAAGGCAGGCCCTCAAAGGTCACTGCTGCCCGCCCACCAGAGGTCAGGGCTGCGGCGGCAGCGTCTTTGCCGGTGAGCACCGCACCTGGACGCCAGCCCTGGAAACTCTGAGTCAGGGCCTGGGCGGCCCAGCACATGGCGCTCTGGTGATCAGAGCTCCAGAGCCGGGTTCCAGGGGCAGACCTGGGCCTGACACCCCCATCCCGGAGCCCTGGGGCTCCCCAGCTCAGGACTGATAGCCATCAGCAGGTGAGCCCCGCCCTGCT